AACCTATTGTTCGTGTGCACTGCGATCTCTTTCTACTGCAATCGCGTGTAAAATGAGACGGCTTGTGCTGTTTGGTTGGTGTGTCCTCATTTTTTACTGGTTTTGCATTAACAATGGAGCTCAAGGTAAATGAAATTAAATAAGCCTGCAATACTTGATATCTTCTTTTTTTTCGAGCTTTAAATTTTCTTTTTCATTTAGTTTTTTTTGGCCATGTACATATTATGATTATTTGCGCTTTTTACCACATTATTTGTCAGCGAGTAATTCAGGTATTTTGCGGACGATACTGTAAAAAAAAGGCGTTGGGTGCCAATCGTCTTTCATGGCAGCAGGCTGCTGAATTGCGAAAGACGCAGCTCGACGCGCTCTCGTGTCGAAATGGTTCGTATTTTTACTAAGGGAGGAAAAACCGGAAAAGACGCAAGAAAGCCCTCCAGAGATTCTTTGATAAGCAAGAATTTGTCTTTGTTTCTTGTCCAAAGTTTGTAAAATTTGTATGCAAGAAAAGAAAAAATGTTTTGAGTTCAAAAAATATCATCTCTGCCATCTGCTCTTCATTCATCATAGCGAAATTGAGAAAACATATATCAGAAGCACCAGAATTAGCATACGAGGCAATTACTTTCCCTGCTATAAGTACAAAATACTTTGTTTTCTGGCAGTAAAATTATTGGTGCAATTTTATGCAATTTCTCCCGCAGTGCATTTCATGAATATCACGAATGAATCCATGCATAATGAATGACTTCACAATAATAAGAGAATAACCGGGCTCACAAATAGGTCTGAAAATAAGCTGTTGAATCTAGCAGAAAATTAATAATCGATAAGTTTTTGTCATTTTATTTGTAGCAACCGTGCCGGGACATTTCTCGTCCTCATCCCAGTCTTTGCATTGTCTAGTATATTATATTTTTACATAAAACACCTGACATCAAAAGGCCTTTTTACCGATATAATGAGTAGATAGGAAGCACCCCATTTTGATACAATTTCTGAGAGTAACGCTGTTAATGTCGCTTCTAAAACTCATGAATTATTCATTAGACATTCTTCCAATGAGCATTCAACTATGGGTCACATGACAGGATCTATAACTCAAGTTATAAACACTGATTAATTAAATAAACATGAGTTTTATAACTAACCGGTTCAGTTAGTTATAACACTCATGCATAAAACATCAGTGTTGTAACTGATTTACAGACACTCGATGTCTGTCCAACACTAGAAAAGTTCTCATCATAGAACTTCACTAGGTCTCGAGTTAAAATTACTTATTTGCAGAGTCACAGTACACTAAAACATAGTGGCGCTTGGATGTGGGAAACCAGGTTGATTACTGCTCATGCTCAGATGGAGATATCTTCATCAATTATTCATTTTTGATATATTTTTATTTATTTCATGTTTATTGTAGTTTCTTAGGTTTGGGTTTTAGAAGTCATTTAAAAAACTCGTAGTTCGTGTTTTATCGTGGATATGAACACTTGGCCTTCGGCTTCGTGTTTATATCTCACGATAAAACACTCCTACTCGTTTTTTAAATACCACTAAGCATACGAGTAACAATAAAAGACTATTTTAAAATTAAAATTCCTGATGAGCTCGGTTTTTATCTATCCTTTGTAAGTCTAAAGTTGGTTGTTACTTTATCACAGGTCAATGTCCATCATATTCACCCAACTTTGTTGTACAACATGGCTATCGTCTGTACGGACATGTTATTACCTGGCTGTATGCTGAAAAGGAAGTTCTTTGTAGACTCAAATGCAATATGGACAAACGGTAATGATGGCCTTAAATTATTGATAGACTATTTAAAAGAGAACAAAGATTAAAGCAAGCAAGTGTGCTAGTGCTTTACTTGAAGAAATATCGATAAATTATCCATTTTAATAAGTATTGCTTACTCCAAGGTGTTTGACATTCAACTTCGAGGAGAGAACTCGGATCTGTGAATTGAACGACGCTGACCACAAAAAAGACCTTCAAAAGGCTCAAGGTTTTGTCTACGTTGATATTAAGGTCAGTGGTATGACTTATGACAGTAAAAGAGAAGATAGGAGCCTTCATTTAAATATATTGTTTTTAATCAATCAATTAGAAGTCAACCAAGAAATATGAAGTCACTAGTACCAGCCCTTCTCCAACAACATCCGGGCTAGGAACAGTTGCTAGTGCCAGTACTACTCCACTTACCAGTGTCGGTACCATTCCACCTACCAGTGGAGATACCATCGGAGATACCATTCCACCAACCAGTGCCGGTATAGTTCAAACTGTCAGTACTAATACAACCTGGCCAGGTAAACACAAAATACAAATCAAGCTATAAGTTTGCATACACCTATTTCAATATGTTTTTGTCGCTTCAAATGAAATAAAATGTGAGACCGAAAAGTATTATGGTACATAACTTTAAACGTTTTTAAAATGTCATGTGCAACCAGTAACGACTTGATTATAAGATGGATCCTTCATTTATTTATTTTTTTTAAATGTCCGATATTGTATTTTGGTTTCTTTGAGTAAAACCGACCAAACGTCCAAGTACCGAATACACGTATGTAATCGTCTCCTCTCGAAAACGTCATTTGACTCTTTCCCAGGTCTTTTCCAAAGAAAGACCTGAATGAAAGCTGGGAACGAGACAAATAACGGCTGCAGCTGGAGACTAAATGTTTACACCTGAATGATATCCAAGGATTTGAACAAAAGTAGTTAATTGTCACGAAATGCACGCGCAATGACCGTCTCATTTCACCCCAGTCATAATGCTACTGAAGACCGGACAGCTTCCTAATTCTTATAACTATCTTTGTTTAAGATGCAAGTTCAAACTTTGACTTCAAATTTCCACGACGAAGTGCTCAAGATTACGTGAAGCTCGAACCCATGATGAATATAACTTTTCTCACAAAGTTTACGATCAGTTTAAGTGTCAAATTGATATTGGATGATGGGGGTCAGACATTCATATCTTACGCGACGACCGAACATTATAACGAGATACTATTTTATCGACGGGATAAAAAGTGGTATCTTACCGTACAGAACGAAAAAAAGTGAGTATGGAACTTATGAGGTTATAATTTGTACGAGTGAAAACAGTCCAACCGTATGTTTTAATGATTGTGTTCTTTTATTGATGCTTATACTCATCGCTATATGAAATCATTGAGTTTCTAATCTGTATCTTTAGTCCTTTGCGCAGTTTTACGTCCCTTTATTAAAAATTCCCCATTTGAATTTTTTTCGTGCTTTGTACAAAACTTGATGTCCTTAATTTTTTTAATCAGAACTTTCAACGTCGATTTCACCCCAGCAAAACAATGGCATCACGTGGTCGTCACGTGGGAAAGMGATGATGGCAAAACCCAATTATGTATCGATGGTATATCAATCTATTCTGATGATTCCAATGATAATAATAAACTGAAAGGTTTACAAGTAAAGGGAGGTGGGTTGTTTGTTCTTGGGAATGATCAGGATACATATGGCGGTGGTTTTAAAGAAAATGATGCCCTTGTTGGGCAACTTTCTCGTGTTAACGTGTGGGATAGAGTCTTATCTGGAGACGAGATCAATAGCCTGGGTGAATGCAGTGATGAAGATGGTACAGTCGTTGCTTGGAAGGACTTCCGCATGGCCACCTTACATGGGGAAGCAACTTTAGTAGAGCCCTCCCAATGTGCAGGACCCCCGGCAGCAAAGGCCCACATTTAGCCCTTTCCATGTCCCTAAGTAGCGGTAATTTAAATCGACTTTTGACAATTTAAGTCGAGAGAGCCCTCGCAGTGTTGGCATAGGGAAGGGCACGATGAATACAGTAAATAGCATAGTGGGAAATATTGTATGTCTGTTAATAATAGTCACTTAAAAGTCAATTTGTTTGTGTTTTCTTTAAAGAAAAGGCACAAGTATTTAAAAGTATCATTTGAACGTAAAAGTACAAGATGAAAACACAAATTATATCAGACAAATTTCATTTTACTTAAAACTTCAAATTGGTTCAAACACGAGAATTAAGTGATTCACCAGAAAAGTAAAACGGACTCTTTTATACAAATAAACTTGTGAATCTTTTACGTCACTACATAAATTGCAATGCATTGTGGTATCAGATCTCTACAGAAAACAAAAGAGATCTGCCATGTTTTGTCTCAAACATGTCCTACAATGCATTGCGTATACGGTACATGACGTAACAGCTATTTTGCTTCTATGGATTGAGTCTTTGGTTTTAATTAAACGTTTAACATTCTCTTAGAAATAATAATAAATAGATAAATACTTAATAATGGAGAACAGCTGTAGATAATGATAAAAATGAAATTAAAGTTACGATGACTCAAATATATCATGCATGACGGCTAGTGTTTCTTATATAACCGTGTTATCTATCCCGCATGCTCAATAATTTCCCTTTGGACCATCCCACATGGCTTTAGCAAATCATGTACCATTCACAAAACATCCTTTTATAAAGAATTTGCTTTGACCCCCCTCACTCAAAGCCAAATTGATTTTTTTAAAGAAAACAAAGTACTGTAATGTTAGAAATAACTTCTCCTCCACGAAAATTGATTTCCTCGTTTCTCCTTTATTCTTTTACGTAATTTTGTATGAAATCGTACACTCCCCTCCCCTCCCCCTCGACAAATTCTGGATACACCACATGACTGAGTCGATAAAGACGTCAATCAAAAGTCAATTATAGTTTATGAATAAAACAGGACACGAGAGGGATGAACCTCCATTGCGCATACGACTCCATCATAACTAAGTATTCAATATAGCAACCAGTTGTTCGTGTCCACTACGATCTTTATACAGCTATCGCGTGTAAAAATGAGAATTACTTTGCTGTTTGGTTGGTGTTTCCTCGTTTTGTTCTGGTTTTACACTCACAATAGAGTTCAAGGTAAGTGAAATTGGACTTGCAATGCTTGATAGTTTTGTGAAAAACGGGAAAAAAAATAATTGCATATTTTTTTCTGAGAACGACATGTGACGATGCAATTTAAGTTGAGAGTTTTTATATTCGAAAGAGAAACCCCTGCTTTCAGAAGATTGTAGAATTTGGTAAATTGGAAGTTTGCGTTGATACGATTCAAAAAAAGGGGTCGAACTTTGTTTTTTTTTTTTCAGTTCTTTTTCATTTGCCATGCACATATCATAAGTATCTGCGCCCTTTACTACCTTATTTGTCAGCAAGTTATTTTGTGTATAATACTGGGAGATTCTAAACTCTACTACTAAAATCAAGTGAACTTTGTTTATATTTCTTGTCTAGAGATTCATGATTGAACATATCTATACCGACATCTAATAAGAGCGACATGGAGCCGAAAACACTGTCCAAAAGTTTAGTTCATTATATAATATTTGTGAAATAGTTTGCCAGCCATTTCCAAATAAGTAAAAAATCCATTGTTTTCTATATTATAATTTGTCTCCGCAATTTCAAGACAAATTTTTCTCACAATATGTCATCTCAAGGATTTTATGAATGCACTCCATGGAATCTATGAATGAATACACAATGATGAGAAAATAACGGTCTAGGAAGCCCAAATAAGCCCTCGACTCTCACTGGGAGAATTAAGTTTCCAAAGCTAACTCCTCATTGTATCATAGCATTTGTGATGATCAATGTTTTGTAATCTCCATGACTACAACTTTCTCCATGAATGAGATAAAGTATTTTTTTGTAAAGCCAATTATTGTCAGGAAATTATATTTTTCCATGGAAAGTCTTTTTTAGTACTAATTAATTCAAAAAGAATCCTTCATGGACCATATAGATTGTAAGTCTCATCMAAACCTCTTTTAGAAGCCATATGTTTTAAAAGTGTCTAAATGTCGGGGACTCTGACAGAATATCATCAAGAAAACTGTAAGTCCGGTAGTCAAAATAATTCACCAAAATCACAGAAGAATGTAAATCCATTCTTCCTTTTGACCAAATTCAGATGACAATTCAAGGCTTCTTCGCCGCTCGGCATAGTATACAATTGACGTGGCACTTAGGTTTTTCACGTCTCTAGACAGACTCCCGGACAGAATGTCGGAAGGAGCCAACGGGGTCTATTCAATAAATAAATCTTCTAAATAACTCTTCTTGTACGAATTTTTTGCTGGGAAGGAGATTTTTGAGCTACATTTTTTTAAATCTCACAAGCAAATGTGGCGCACTTCCTTCCTTAAAATAATTTTGTTCCTGGCAAACGATTAAGGTCAAAAAAGGCTTATATAACGTTTTCATGGTCAAAAAAGGCTAATATCTTTTTTAGTTAGGAAATCTTTATCTTCCTGGCAAAAGTTCTCAGAGAGTATTTCTTGCCTGGGGAGTTCTTTTTCCTGAATTTCTCTTTTGCAACGGCAGAGGTTGTGACTTACAGCTGTGCGGGACATAAGAACAGATATATTTCTCCCAGGAACCCATCGACTCCTCCTAGAATGTCACAGAAAACTAATATACATCCGGGAGTCAAAATAATTTATCGAAATCACGCGAGAAAATATGTCAGGGTCCCGGATATATAAACACTTCGTTTAATAATTTATGGCGTAACTTTGCCTAAAAATCCGTTGCTGTTATGTTTTTTTGTAAGCATTGCAAGACTTAAACGTTGTTGTTTTAAACAGGTCAATGTCCAGCATATTCACCCAAATTTGTTGTACAACATGGCTATCGTCTGTACGGACATGTTATTACCTGGTTGTATGCTGAAAAGGAAGTTCTTTGTAGACTCAAATGCAATTTGGAGAAACGGTATTAATGATATATAATTGATAAACATTTTTTGGACCGTGAATTGTAAATAATATGCTTCTTTGACCTAATCATTTGGCCATTTTAATAATTTTGGCTTTTTAGAATTATAACACCTACTATGAGGATTTTARATTTGACTGTTTCTTCCATGGGGTTGCCATGGTTTCCCGCTGCTGTTAATCTTTTGTCGTCATACATTCTATGTATTCAATTAATGATTAATYAATAATTCCGCGATTTAAGGTGTTTAACATTCAACTACGAGGAAGCAACTAGGGTCTGTGAATTGAACGACGCTGACGATGAAAAAGACCTTCAAGAGACTCAAGGTTTTGTYTACGGTGACATGAAGGTCAGCGGTATGACCAATGATTGCAGTAACAGTGGCAATAATGTCAATCACTATCAATATTATAATGATAACGATGACTGGATAAAATATGAACTATATATTATAATTTTTATCATGATTTCTTAATTCATTCATTTGCAAAGATTCTGAAATATATTATTATATGTGGTGCATCACGGGTAATTTTATGTGAAYGACGCTCTTTTATTGCTAATAATCAAGCAAACTTTTTAAAATTATTATTATTTTAGATGTATTTATGAGCTGCAYTATATTCTTTTAATGATTTATATATGTTAACGAGCATAATTTCTTCAAAATGATTGTGTATACTATTATATTCAGAAAAAAAGGAAATCTGAAGTCGCTAGCACCAGTACTACTCCGCCTACAAGCAGGCCAGGTACAGGAAAAAAATGCAAATCAAGCACAAAATTGAGATCAAACACACCTTATTTTAAACCGGATCAACAACCAACTAAACGAATTTGCTATTTGTTGCATGTTTTTCATTGACAGCCCGTTCAACTTGTTGTTCGGCCGAACTTGGACAGTATTTTGATAGCAATTTATTTAGCAAACAGCGCGTGATTTATTTTTACACATTCAACTTTCAGGTTCAAGTTCTCTTCTTGCTGGTCACTCGTGCAAGAAAATCAAAGATCTCGGTGATTCTCGTGGAGATGGAGAATACTGGATTGATCCTGGGAACACTGGACAACCCTTTACTGTCTACTGCGACATGACTACTGATGGAGGTATTCTGACAGGAGCCGATTCATGGTTGCTTGATGATGCGAATTTAGTCTTCTCGTGTTGAAAATCGCTACGCTCATTCGCGAGAGATCTTTTAACACTCGAAGATAAAATCCGTATCCCCGTGCACCTATGTAATATCCTCTATATATATAGTATAAACGTAATCTTGTTTTATATGTTTAAATAGGTGGATGGACACTGATTAAACGATCAAATCTAACCTTCATCTATAGATATTCATCCGAGTTTGACCGGAACGACTATCGTGCAATTTCTAACTACAGTGATGCGAGGCAAAACATTCTCACCACAGCGATTCAAGACTTAAGAATAACGATGGGCTTTGACCAGCTTCGATATCGATGTCGCAAGAAAAGAATCAATCGAACTCTTCACATAATGACGATAAACGATACGGCAGGTTATGAAGTCCTGGATCACCTTCTTGTTCAACCAACATGGCCGACAGCATGCAACTCATTTGAAAGATTACAAGATGATACGTCGATTCTTGCACGGAATTGCATTAAGTGGGGTGATTATTTTGGAAATAGAGAGGTTAACCGTTGGGGCAAGTCTTCAAATAAAGGTCGACACAGGGTTTATAATTACGTTATTGTATTGGAACCGAACCACCGTTTGGCATTTATGTCAGGAGGACCTCATTATTGCGACGATTCACTTCCCTTCGCAAGCATTGGAGACTTCTGGGAGCTTTATGTCCGTTAATTTGAAATAAGATAATAATGAATCAGTACAATTTTATTCAGGGTTCGTGCTACATTTTTACTTTAAAATTCCAGGACTTTTCAAGTACTTATCAAGCACAAAAACTTTGTGCAATTTTTAAGGACTATTTTTGACGATATTTTTTGATGTTTGTGGGCGTTTCAGAGGCGATTTTCAAAAATAGCCAAATTCAATCCAAACTGCAAAAAGCAACATGTCACTTTCATCAGATTCAAGGAGTTTTCCAGGAGTTTTAGTGATTTTCCCAGCGCTTGTATGCCTATGTATGACGACCCAAACCCATGGATTCAGATTGATTTGCTTCAAATCGAAAAGATTAACGGCATTGCCACACGGCTAGGGACATGGGTCAATGAATCACAACTGGGTAAATGAATACCGTTTTGCGTACGCCAAAGGGAGCATCACCAAAGAGTAAGCAACATAGGCCACTATCAAAACATTTCAAAGGGAATATTGACCACAACACCATCTTGTTCAATGCAACACCATCTTGTTTAATAAGCAACATAGGCCACTATCACTAAACCCACAACAATTACACTGAGGCTAAAACATTTCAAAGGGAATATTGACCACAACACCATCTTGTTCAATGCAACACCATCTTGTTTAATAAGCAACATAGGCCACTATCACTAAACCCACAACAATTACACTGAGGCTAAAACATTTCAAAGGGAATATTGACCACAACACCATCTTGTTCAGTGCCCTCGATCGGCCTCCAATAATCGCACAAGTACTTCGTATTGCACCAGCGGCATGGAACACCAAATCGCAAGGAGGGTTGAGCTGTACGGATGCCCATATAAGAGGGCATTTGATGGATCTAATAAACATATGATCAGGCGAGCAGACAAGAGCGTAAAGTCCATTCCAAGAAGTCTCAGGACTAGGACACTAATAAGGTGAAATTTTCAGCCAACTCGGCTGGTTCAGTGGTTTTCAGATCAAAATAAGTCAAAATCAAGAGAAATTAATAGCTCAATAGACTTTTGCATAAAACGGTCACATAGTCGTACTAAATACGACACACTGGATCATCATGGCAAAAGAATGTAAACAACCTCAAAAACAAAAGAAACACAGCCCGTCAAGCTTGACTTTTCTTTGTTTTGAACATACCAGGGGGTAATTTGCCGTCCAGCATCATATGGTGGATTTTCTACCATGTGACCGTTCCCCATAGAAGGTCTAGTACAGTAAGGGCTAGTACAGTATACGCCCTTTTGATAAGTCCCGAGGTATTGTGTTCTCCGCACTTGACGTCAAATTTATTCTTTTGAAATTTTACAATACAAACGGAATTCAAAAGAATAAATTTGACGTCAAGTGTCGTCAACACCATACCTTGGGACTTATTAAAAGGGTGTATAGCTCAACATACTATACATAATTATAACACTATAGGAATAAAAATACACGCCAAAAGATCTTATACATTGATAAATAAAAGATAATCATAATCGATGCTTGATAAATAAATGCTTTAGTTCATAATTATATTCTTTTTATTTTCCATTTTTTTTAACTACGATGGTTAAATTTAAATGATGATGACGCTGCTATAGAAGCTGTCCGCTGTCAACTCTATTTTGTTAGATTTACAATGATTAAAAACATCTGCCCATTGATGCAGTGTGTTCAAAAATACCCCCTCCCTCCCCCCCACCAACTTCCAATCATCTCCAATCCCATCCCTTCCCCTTGAAGAATTCGTGATACGACTCTGGGTAGAATAAAACCATCTTGAATGAAGACGTCAATCAACAGTCAATTATTACTAATGAAAAACAGGACGCGAGAGGTAACGTCTCTCAAAATAACTCGTCATTGCTCATACAAGTGTTGATATAGTACAGAACCTATTGTTCGTGTCCACTATGATCTTTCTACTGCAATCGTGTGTAAAATGAGACGGCTTGTGCTGTTTGGTTGGTGTGTCCTCATTTTTTACTGGTTTTGCATTAACAATGGAGTTCAAGGTAAGTGGAATTAAGCTTGAAATTCCTGATAGTTTTGTGGCGAAATGTTTCTTGATAATGACAAGAGACGATGCAGTTTATGTTGTAAGTTATTTTTTTAAGAAAAGAAACCCATGCTTTCCGAAGATTTGATAATTCAACTGGATATTTGCCTTCAGATATGATTCAAAAATGGTGTCCAACTTCCGCATCTTTTGCTTTCTTATTTTTTAGTTTTTTGATGACGTTTTTCTCAGTGATGCGGTTTTCAAGTATTTTGTGGATAATTCTTAAAGATTCTATATGGGAAAGAAGAATTTGTCTTTGTTTCTTCTCCTAAGTTTATGCGATTAAAAATAAGCATTGTATACAATAAGGGGAAAATGTTTTAAGTTCAAAAAAAGTTTAATATAAGATCTCTACCATCTGCTCGGCATTTACCTTTAGATGATTCATCAAAGCGACATTGAGAAAACTGCAGAAAGCAGAAGCAGAATTAGCATTGCAGAGTACGAGGTCACTCAATATTGTGAAATAGTTTGCCGGCAATTATTTTCCCTGCTATAAGTACAAAATCCTTTGTTTTTTATAGTAAAATTATTCGTGCAATTTTGTGCAATTTCTCCCGCAGTGCATTTCATGAATATCACGAATGAATTCCATGCATAATGAATGACTTCACAATAATAAGAGAATAACCTGGCTCACAAATAAGTCTGAAAATAAGCTGTTGAATCTACGCAAAAAATTAATAAGCGATAAGTTTTTGTCATTTTATTTGTAGCAACCGTGCCGGGACATTTCTCGGCCTCAAGCCAATTATTGCATTGTCTAGTCTGACATCAAAAGGCCTTTTTACCGATATAACGAGTAGATAGGAACCAGCAAGGATCTCTCTCGGACAAAAAACACCCCATTTTGATACAATTTCTGAGAGTCTTGCACTTAATGGTTACAATAAAAGACTTTTTTAAAATTAAAATTCCTGATGAGCTCGGTTTTGATCTATCTTTTGTAAGTCTAAAGTTGGTTGTTACTTTATCACAGGTCAATGTCCATCATATTCACCCAACTTTGTTGTACAACATGGCTATCGTCTGTACGGACATGTTATTACCTGGCTGTATGCTGAAAAGGAAGTTCTTTGTAGACTCAAATGCAATATGGACAAACGGTAATGATGGCCTTAAATTATTGATAGACTATTTAAAAGAGAACAAAGATTAAAGCAAGCAAGTGTGCTAGTGCTTTACTTGAAGAAATATCGATAAATTATCCATTTTAATAAGTATTGCTTACTCCAAGGTGTTTGACATTCAACTTCGAGGAGAGAACTCGGATCTGTGAATTGAACGACGCTGACCACAAAAAAGACCTTCGAAAGGCTCAAGGTTTTGTCTACGTTGATATTAAGGTCAGCGGTATGACTTATCATGACAGTAAAAGAGAAGATAGGAACCTTCATTAAAATATATTATTTTTAATCAATCAAACAGAAGTCAACCAAGAAATATGAAGTCACTAGTACCAGCCCTTCTCAAACAACATCCGGGCTAGAAACAGATGCTAGTGCCAGTACTACTCCACCTACTAGTACCAGTACTACTCCAACCACCAGTAATATTCAAATTTCCAGTCCAGATGCTAGTGCCAGTACCACTCCACCCACTAGTACCAGTACCACTCCAACCACCAGTAATATTCAAACTTCCAGTCCAGATGCTAGTTCCAGTACTACTCCACCCACCAGTACCAGTACTACTCAAACTACAAAAACGGAGACTAGTGCCAGTACTACTCAAACTACAAAAACGGAGACTAGTGCCAGTACCACTCACACTGCCAATCCAGTTGTTAGTTCCAGTATCACTCCACCCACCAGTACCAGTACTATTACAACAACAAACTGGTCAGGTAAACGAAAAATACAAATCTTTAAAGCTATAAGTTGGCTTTTTTAAAAGATGTTTTTGTCGCTTTGAAAGCGAAGACACAAACAAAAAGTGTTGTAGTTACATAATTTTGAACGTTTTTGAAATGCCATGTGCTACCAGCAAGAGACGACTTGTGTATGAGGGCGGTCCTGTATTTATTTATCTATTTCAAATGTCTGATATTGTATTCTGGTTAGTTTGAGTAAAACCAAAAAACCAGTTGTGTAAAAAGATAAATTAACACCGTAAAAAAGTAGGGGAAACAACTTTCTGGCGTTTCGGACGTCGATCCTACTTCGGAGTAAAGAGAGGATTTGATAGCAAGAGGTATTTTGACAGCAATTCCGTTTAGTCATCAGCGCGTGATTTTTATTTTTTACACATTCAACTTTCAGGTTCAAGTTCTTTTCTTGCTGGTCACTCGTGCAAGGGAATCAAAGGTGATTCTCGTGGAGAATCTCGTAGAGATGGAGAATACTGGATTGATCCTGGGAACACTGGAAAACCCTTTACTGTCTACTGTGACATGACTACTGATGGAGGTATTCTGACAGGACCAGAGTCCTTTTGAATCAATTTAACGTAGTTACTACTAACTATGAACAAATCTAGCAATTGAACGGGAGAGCGCAGAGCATTCTGGTAGTTGTAGTAAAATTACGCCATCATAATGCTCTTACAGTAACCGCTTTCCAGGCTCCATTAAGACATTGCGTATTGAGACCATCAATCCTGATTGCTGTATTTTACTTGGCACCATTCTTAACTTGTGTGTGTATATGTGTTGCTGTACGTCATATTACGTACCCTTACGCAATATTAC